GAATCTTTCCTCTTTCTATTAACCAAGTTTCTACAATATTTACCACACATGTGGAACTAGTCTCTACTATCTACTGGAAACATATAAAATGGAAGAGCATAAGATCTAAAATAAATTGCCTAAGATAAATAATTCTGAATAGTAAGCCCTCTTCAATGGTGAACGCCATCTGTCTAGGAGAAAAAGTAGTTTTTAAACCTTTTCAGAGTGCGAGTATGTGTTGTGAGCCATTTTGACTGCCAGAGCAGTGGTCTGGGTGTTGCAGTTTCATTGATCTGGCTTATCATTTCTCTTTCGTTGTTTCAGGGGATCAAGGGGAGCCAACAGAGACAAAGACCCTCATTGTTCACATCTCAGCCTTGGATTCATCTTACGCATCTTTATTGCTTATATTGTTAACATAAGTAACTAGAGATATGGTGTTACTTGAGTCACTAGTGTGTGTTAGCAGGAAACCGGGGGCATGCTGATACTTGAAGTTCTTGTAGTTGACCCCTGACTCTGGGGTAAGAGTAAAATATTCCTCAAAAACTCTCATATAAGTTAGAACAACCAAGTGTAGACTGGATGGCATAGCTCTGTGTGGTAGAAGATTTAGTTCTCTTTTGGTTTTACCAGAAGATGTCGCAAGATGGATAGTATTATCTCTGGTAAATAAAAGTGTATTTTTTCATAAGATTCCCATGTCAATAAGTATAGAATGCCAAATTGCTCACTGAAGGCATTTGGGAATGTCAAGGAAAGCTAGACCTTTCAAAGAATTAAGACATAAATCTCACTTTAAGCTTAGATGAAAGAATATTTCTCTGTTTTCCACCTTTTTTTTTTCCCAAATCTGTATACTCTTATCAAGATAGAAAATGTAACTTTTTGGTTGTTTTATCATCTTCTGCAGAATGTATGTCGTTAAGTGGCTAGTAATGTTAAACAGACTACCTGATATAAATAGGTAGTTTCACCATTTTTTTTCCAACTGAGTTCTTTCAGGGAAATGGTTGAGTAGTTTCTGATTGTACATTTAAATAATGTACAGAGAGCAGCTTGAAAAATGCACTCTTAAATTTGTGCATTCGGTAAAATTTGCTGAAGTTATAAGCAAGGGATAGACTTATAATAAGATAATACAACATTTTTTTTCTTGCAACATAACAAAAATAGAACTGAAATGGAAGTTATTGTAGAGGGAGAGAAGTAGAATATGTATCAGAATCACTACTTCTATAAATGGTGAAAAATATGTAAAATCATACCTGGGTGTGATCTGTTACTGCATCAATATCCAACATGGAATATAAAAAATGGCTTTTATAAAAGTGTTTGATAGTTTTCTGTGACTTTTTTTTTCCTCCATTCAAGTTGCTGTGGATACAAATCTTATAACGGGGTGGGGAAGATTGATTTTGAGGGGTACCTAAAGTCGTGTAGGTACTGATGATATGAGTGACCCTGAGATTAACTCAGTTAGTTGGAGCATGGTGCTAAAAACACCAAGTTCATGATCCCTGTGTGGGCCATTCATTTTAGAGTTGGACTCGATGATCCTTGTGGGTTCCTTCCAGCTTAGAATATTCTATGAATTTTGTGAGTGTGTGTTTTCATGCTGAGCATGCAAAGAGGCAAAGTACACAATCTGTGCTAAACTGATAGGACGTGTGAGGACAGGTAAAACAGCGAGAAATATGGTAGAACAAATAAACACAGAAAAGATGAGCTTCCCAGAATATTATAAAAGATCAAAGGGAAAAGAAATAATTAGTCGTGCAAGTATTTACTGGTGAGATGCAAGCACATGACCAGAAAAGACCTAAAAGCCGTGGTTCGGATTGCCACATATGTACCCAAATCGGGATGATTAACCAGTTTTGCGGAGTTTATTTATTTATTTGTTTGAGTCCTCCTTGAACTCTTTGTGCACAATATGAGGATTCTGAACACTCCTCCAAGATTTCCAGAGGTCTAATAAGGTCTGATAACATTGAGTCTGATAACCTGTTTTGATGACTTGACCTAGTGGTACACATTCACACTGTCTGTGCAGTGCTAATAAGCTGGGGGGTTTTTTGTCCCTTTCCCTTCTGCTTCCCTTTTCCCCTCCCCTTCCCCTTCCTCTTCCCCTACCCCTGCCCCTTCCCTCCCCTTCTCTCCCCCTTTCCTCTTTTTCCCCTTTCCCCTTTTCCCCTTTCCTTCAGTTGTGCACTGTGTGGCACGATATCTAATTTCCATATGCAGTTCCCTAGACTGAACCTCTCCAATAGAGATGAAGCACGTTGTTCACTTTTGAATTGAAGTTACAATGGCTCTGTAGCACTGCACAGTAACACTGTAACTCCCTGAGACAGCAACAGCCACCAGGAAAAAAATAAAATTAAGTGGATTCTGTATCCCCACAGAAAGAAGGCAGTAGGACACTAGGTCAAAAGAAAGGAGTGAATGGAGACAAGTCCTCACTGGGAGTGGCAGATGAAACCCCTCCTTGCTCACCTCACCCTCCCAGGTGCCTCTGTGCAGTAGATACGAGCTCTGGATGTGAAAGGCCAGTCAATGGATGATGAGGATGAAGACATAAATACACTGGAGGTATTGCCAGTGTCAGAAAGACCTATACCTTGTATCACAACCACTTCCACCGAAGAATCACAATCACTTCCAATGAAGAAAAGACCAGTTGTAATTGTAGGCAGTTCTCTTCAAAGGAGAACAGAGATTCCAATATGCCAGATGGACCCTCTGCTGTCACACACAACCCCCTTCCCTGAGTCAGGGCAAAAGTGGAGTGCCTGCCGTTTCCCGAGGACATTAAAAAAACCCTCACCTCCCCCCTCACAGCAAGGCTGCCGGCCAGTTCTTTTGTATATGTCAATCACCCAGGCCAAAAACCACCCTCTCCTCCCTTGTTCAACATCCCTCTTTCACAGTGATACAGGGGGAAAAAAAATTGCCACTTGGTTTTTTAGAACAAGTAAACCTATGACATAGACAAAGGGAGCAAGTGCACCCACAGTATGTTTACAAATTACATCAAGCTGAATGGTGCAGCTGACACACCTAATGGACAGGATGCCATCCAGAGGGACCTGGACTGAAGGAGTGGGGCCATGGGAATCTCATGAGGTTCAATAAGGCCAAATGCAAGGTGCTACACCTGGTTTGGGGCAACCCCTGGTATCAATACAGGCTGGAGGGTGAACAGAAGCACAGAATATGCTGAGTTGTAATGGACCCACAAGGATCATCAAGTCCAACCCTTAGCCCTGCATAAAACCATCACCAAGAGTCACACCAATGCCTGAGAGTATAGTCCAAACACTTCTTCAACTCTGTCAGACTTGGTGGTGAGTGAAGAACCTTTTTCTAATATTCAACATAAACCTCCCCTGACACAACTTCAGGCCGTTCCCTTGGGTCCTGTCACTGGTCACCACAGAGAAGAGATCAGTGTCTGCCCCTCCTCTTCCCCTCACAAGGAAGTTGTAGACTGCAACCCCTCAGTCTCTTCTTCTCCAGGCTGAACAAACCAAGTGACTTCATACAGCTTCACCTCAAGGCCCTTCACCATCTTCATTGCCCTCCTTTGGACGGTCTCGAAAAGCTTAATATCTTTCTTATATTGGAGTGCCCAAAACTGCAAACAATATTGCAGGTGAGGCTGCACAAACATCTGGGGTTGCCCCATCCCAGGACAGAATCCAGCACTTACCCTTGTTGAAATTCATATGGTTGGTGATTGCCCAATCCTATAATTTGTTGAGGTCTCTCTGCAGGGCCTCCCTGCCTTCGAGGGAGTCAACAGCTCCTTCCAGTTTTGTGTCATCTGCAAACTTGCTTAGTATCCCTTCCAGTTCGACAAATATTCAAAAGAGATTAGAAATTTTTCATTTGGTGAATTTTCTAAAGTTTGTGTAAACATCTAGTAAGAATATTAACATGTCTAATCAAATGCTTAATGCCATAATGTCAGGAACTCGCTAAACTGCAGACTACTGAAAGTTAAGAAAATTCAGGAGAGAAGTATCATGATCTTTAATACATCAGTCTTTTCATCCCTACTGTACTGTGTCTATTTGAGATAGAAGGGGGTTTTTTGTTTTTTTTCAGTAGCAGGCCTATGGTGTTTTGAATTTGTGATTGAAACACTGTTGGCAACACACTAATGTTTTGGCTATTGCTGTGTATTTCTTGGCCATTATCAGGGTTTTCTCTTTTTCTCACTCTCTTCCCTCGACTTCTCCTGTCAGGGACAAGGTTGGGTGTGGGCAAGAAGCTGGCAGGACAACTGATCCCAACAGACTAAAGGGATATTTTATGCCATAGAACACCGTGGTCAGCAATAAAAGCTGCAGAAAAGAGGGATTAGGAACATTTGTGGTCATGGTTTGTGTCTTCCCAAATAACCATTGTGCATGCTAAGGCTCTGCTTTACAGGAAGTGGCTAAACGTCTTTTAGTCCATAGGAAACAGTGAAACTGTTTTGCTTCTACATGCAAATTCCCACCTATTAAATTCTCTGTTTGGATCCACGAATATTATTCTCTTCCTTCTGAGATAGGGATAGGGGAGTGGCTGACTGGCTGTGTAGGTATTTGCCTACACAACCCATTTTGCAGACAACCCACCATAAGACTTTTTGTTGCATAACACAGGGCTTAAGAAGTTCAAGATAACATCAGATTTGTTTGTAGTCTGAATTTATAGCTGTTATAACTGTTATTTTGCAGGGTCTCATGCTTGCCATGAGGCTCGTTTATTGTATATTAGAGTCTGTGGCTCGTTGATGACTGTTTTTGCTGTTTCAGGTACTACTTATTGTCTTAGTTTGTTATGGTTGGCAACATTTTGATTAACAATATGTGCCTAAGTGCCTGGATTGGCATATGACCCTAGCACTGCTGCCATTCCTGTACTGCTGTACCAGACATGCACAAAGTCAGCTATGAAGAGCAGAAACACTCCTGAAAGGACTATGGCCCATGAGTAAGCCCGTACTGGAGCAGGCACACCCTCAAAGGAACCACAACCCATGGAGGCTTCATGCTGGCACAAATGCAGTGTGTGGATGGTGTTGCAATAGTAACTCTATTACCTGGAAAAGGGAAAAGGGGTGGAAATTGTAGTGGATATAAATTTAACCTGTTTTAACCCATGGTTTGCGTTGGATGTTGTAGGAAGTGCTGTAGCAGGAAAACCCAAGCAAATGAAGGACCAACCTCACAAGAAGCTGAACAAGTGAACTGATGACTCAGTTTGAGCTGTCTTTGCTTCTCAACAACACAAAAAGCCATAGATTCTATTCTGATCTTCTGTAACAGAAGGAACCCAAGTTATGGACTGAACTAACTCAATGGACTTTTATAATCTTACCACCTTTCTCCTATTTTGTCTTCATCCTGCAGGAGAGGTGAGTAAGCAAGTAACTGTCTGCAGGTTTGTCTATTGACTGGGATTAAACCACCATACCTACTTATCTGTTACAAGATACATTTAAAAAAAAATTCTCCCTGGATATGGATGTCAGCTCTGCCTTTCCAAACCTTGGAGGTCTCCCTTCTAGGAACCTAGATAGAAATTAACTGTTGGATGCTATTTGAGACAGAAACTTAGCTAAGAAAGACCTTTCACGTGATCCAGTAAAGTTTTTTTCTGTTACTGATAGGGAAATGCTCCTTCTCAATCTCCCTTATGTTTTAATTCAGTTGTGTTACTTGCTTTTGGTATCTTCTTAGCAGAAAGACATGTTGACTTAAAACTTTAATTAATACTTAAGATTTATAGTGTGTGAGGAATCACTCAAACTTATAAATGGATAATGGATGGATTATTTATGTGAAGACTACAGTTTTGGATTGAGATGCATTAACTGGAATTAATCAAAGGGTAAAAACACCATCAAAGAGAAATTGCTTATGTTTGTAAATGAGCTTTATAATGATTGTGGAATGAGAATTTGAAAAGAATTGTTGAGAACACTCCAGATAGAGTTGTATCATTTTATGGAACATATGTTTGAAACTAGACCTCCTTTTCTATCCTGTAGATTAAAAAGGACCACACTGAACAACATGACTAACACCTTTAAAATCAAGTTAGCTATGCTGGTAAGGACCATACGTAAAGGTATGGTAAGTCAATGAATCTTATATCAGCTTATCTTTCTTTTCCACTTGTTTTGGTTCCAAAGAGATAATTCTTCAATTTATTGTACATATGGTAAGGACCTTAGCAAGTATTGAAGTGTGCTCATAACTGACACATACAGAATGTCTTTCAGATCAGAGAAGGATATGATGTGGATGACAGCAAATTTTTTTTTGCTGGGAAGAATATGGCAATGTCATTTTATCCCAGTGTCTGATTCTGCTGACTCTCCTTATTTTACTCCCCGAAAAGAGGTATACAAAGGTCTAGCTGAACAATTGTATAACTACCGGCTTGCCATCAAATTTTGTTACATTTTTATGCCCTTTTTGTCTCTGTTTACATCAAGAAGAAAAGATTATTTTGTGGCAGAAACTGCCTGGCATTCAAGTTCTTTGACAGAAAAAGCTCAGGCTGATGTGTGCAATTCTTTTCTACTTAGGTATGAGCGTTGTGGATCTGAGTTGTTTTTTTCAGGTTTTTAAATTTATTTATAGTATAAATATTATATATAAAATAGAAATACATAATATAGAATAGAATATATATGTATTATATATTTTATATATATATATAAAATATTCTTTTTTAAAATGAGGTTGCTATCTGATAGAGCTTTTAGTAGTTGTGTTCTACTACAGCAGGTAAAAGAATAACCTTTACATACTCTTGCCAAGATAATCCTTCTTTGTGGCTTTTTTTCTCAAATCCGTTGGTCGAAGAGAAAGGGATTTAGCCTTTTGGATCAAGTGTAAGCATGTTCTTTGACCTGGATTTAGAAACAGCTGATAACTAAGGCATAGAGTACCATACCTTAAGCTCACTCAAACAATGGTGTCAGCATTCAGCAGTTCAGGATTGTGTTAAAAGGCGAAACCTAATAAATAAATGAACAGAAGAGGAAAGGACATGTAAAACCTGCTGGGCATGAGGTAATTTTTCTCATTCATGTTTTAGCAAATAGGGCAGGGTTGCTATCAGTGGCAGCAGGGGGAGTCACTAGAGCAGAAATTCCATGTTGGTGGATTATCTCCTTCAAATATGAATGAAGGAATGAAGTAGTGTTTGAAAATAGTAACTTTTTGTGTTGAAAAGCTGATTGCATGTGAAATAATTGATTTACTTTCAACTATGAATTATATCTTTGTTGTGGTAAATAATGCTAGACTGTAGCCTCCATTGCATAGACACACATTTAGTTGAGATCAGCTCATTGCAGCTCTCTCATTACTCTAATTTCTATTGTTACAGAGAAGAGTAACCTTTTGGAGATTGTGTAATGTGGTGATAGCTGATGACAACTACAGGAAAATGACAATAAATAACAAGTCAGGTCTTAACAGATCAACAAATGATCTGTGAACATAATTTGGGACACATAGATAATTTGCAACACTATCCTCCTTGTCATATTCTAAGTTGTATGTACAAATAATTACATGATCAAAACCTTCACTGCTGTCCCTCTGTAGTCTCTAGGTCTTGTCATATTTAACATGACAATAGAGCATTTCTTATATATGATCCATTGATATATTTGGCTTGCACTGATACACTTGAAGGCTTCTTTTTGTAGGATTTTTGTGTGCACAAAATCTGTTGATCTCTCACTAGACTGCCTTCTTTTTCGTAATGGCTTTACTGTGGCTTTCTTATGTTTGAACATAAGAGCTATTTCAGAGCTTTTGCATTTGACTTCATGTCCCTAATAGTAAGCTGACAAGCCCTTCAGCTCAAAGAAATTCTGAAGGTATTACATCCTTCCACAACATGCTGGGGAATCTTTAAGTATAACAGGCTATTTGAAAAAAAAATAATAAAAGAAACTTAAATTAATTAATGATACTTACCAATTATAAAGTAGTTTTCCTCTTCAAGATACTTCAGTCATTAATTAATTTTTTAACATCTTGGTACCCTCCCCATCTGCTCCACCATTTGCCTCTTCATTACTACTATTTTCTACCATCCTCTAATTTTCCACTGTAGGTAATACAGCCTCACTGTGTTTTTCATACTTCCATTTGATGGTTGTGTAGAAGCATCATCTGATTCTTCAGTAAATGTTTTAATGCACACTCATCACTGAGCATAAATCATTAACCTACAGAACATTTAATTTGCTGTATTTGATTGTACATCAGATTCTAGCAAACAGACCATAAATTAATCTGATATAACTTCTAGACTCAGCGTTGCTGATTCATTGGGAGGTTGTCATATATAAAAATTGGTACTATATAAACAAGTAGATGTTGATAGCTTCAGCAGTGTAAATAAATACTTACAATTAATTCCCTCTTGAACTTTACAACTTCAGTGTGGAAATATTAATAGAAGTATTGTGACATTAACAGTTTGCATCATAAATATGAATTTTAATTCCCTAGAATATTAGAGAGAAATAGCTGAAATTTATATTAAAATTAGGTAAGTCAAGTGTCATATGTCTGTTGCAGGGTTAAAAGACGGGGCACAGGAAGATCATAATTTCCCTTGAGATTTATAGTTGGTTCCAGAGAAAGGCATTGTTTGAATCATCTTTCCTGTGAAAGGGATAGAATTGAAATGAAGATACACCTGACCTTAATCTGGATTTAGAATCACAGAATCATAGAATGTTTTGGTTTGGAAGGGACCTTAAACTTCATCTAGTTCCAATTCCCCTGCCATGGGCAGGGGCACATCCCACTAGACCAGATTGCCTATATCTCCACCCATCCCAGCCTTGAACAGTTCCAGGGATGGGGTATCCACAGCTTCTCTGGGCAACCTGTTCCAGGGCCTCACTAGCCTCACAGTAAGAAATTTCTTCCGTATGTCTAACCTAAATTTCCCCTCTTTTAGTTTGTACCCATGACTCCTTGTCCTATCACTACAGTTCCTGGCAAAGAGTCTCTCTTCAGCTTCCTTGTTTTCCCCCTTCAGGTACTGGAAGGTTGCCATGAGGTCTGCACACAACCTTCTCCAGGCAGAACAGTCCCAACCTTCTCAGCCTGTCTTCGTAGGGGAGGTGCTCCAATTCCCTTGGGAACCCACTAAGTATAGCAATGGGCTTTCTCTGCTTTTCTGTACGAAATATTCGGTGTCCTTTAGGATAAGACAGTGCTTAAGTTTTGGTTACTGTTTTATATCTACATGAGAATCAATATCTCTGGTTAGTTATAATAGTATGAATACTGTTAAAAGTAAACAGCTGGTGTTTTTCATTGACGTCACTTACAGAAGCTGTGTTATTTCCAAGATTTGAAGTAGTCTGGTTGCTGTTTGTCTTCATTTCACTTAGTTTATAACAGAAATATAAAATGTGCATGGTGTGTACCTGTTATTCTCTCCATTCCTAACTTGTGTGCAGTTTCAACAGTGCTGTCGAAACCAAGAGTTTTTACGTAAGGTAACAGACAAGCTATGAGTAAATGACTCTTTACTAACTCATGGCTTTAAAATGGGGAAAACTAATGGTTGTACTGGATGTTTGCATAAACATCTCCGATGCTGTCTTGCAGGCATATTGGTTATACATTGCATGTGGAGAACTCGTGTTTCAGTTCCTATCTAGGAAGAGTTTTGCAATTCCTGTCTACCTGTATTTACTTAATCTAGATTAAGTTAGATCCATTATCTTTCATCTGCTTTGCAAGGTGATGGTCTATAAATTATTATTTACATTGATGATAAGAAAAGATTATTGACTGGTCTTTTTAGTCTTTGGGATTTTTCCCAGAAGAGTGGGAAGAGGTTTGGGGTTTTTTGTTTGTTTGTTTTGTGTTTCTTTTGTTGTTGTTTTTTTTTTGCTTTTTTATTTTTATTCAACTCATTTATTTTTAACAGTCGGTTTGCTTTAATGAAACAAGGCTTGAAGTCTATAAAGACAAGAGCCCCCTCTTTTCCATTTTTAAAAAATATAGGAACTTTTGTTTATTGGTTACATATAACTGAGAAGCTTTTTTTAAGTGCAAACAAATGTTATATAGCTCTACCACATCATCAGAACTGAAACAGGTCTTATTCCTCCTGGAGATTTCTATAATAGAAGCTTTTAATTATTTTATCAAACAACAAAATGCCTATGAAGTCTTTCTTTAGATTGCAATGGGAAGATAACCCAAATCTTTGCAAGTTGAAGATGATGTTTCTTTTATTTCAGCTATAAAATTGTCAGTTATTGAAG